GAATACAGAGCAGATCTGATTTCAAGTCTCTCTGCGAAATGGCATTTTACTAATGGGAGCTTCCATGTAATTGTAAAATGGCATTGAGAATAGTATAATTAGAGAATAACATTGAGAATAATAATGTGGCAACATTCCAGCATATTGCATTCTTTTTTCTAGAATGTACTGCAGGGCCAGCATCACTTCCTCAGAGTTAGCTAATTGGGTCAGGACATGAATTAACTCCTCCAGACCACTGGGTACCAATTAATGCTAATTGTGGCTGTAATGAAGAATGGGCTGAAACAAACCTCAAGACATTTAATAGGATGAATGTAAAGTCATACTCCTAGGGACAAGGACTTTTAGAAAATGGATATCGTTCATCCTTCATTATTGGTGAAAGCCCATGAAATAGCACTGAGTGCTGAACCAGTTCAGAAATAAGACAATGATAGAGCACCTTATGACTGAAAAAGATAATAAAGAAATGGGCTTAAATCTGCAGGCAATGCAGGACCCCACTGCACCAATGCAGGCCTCCCTGGGGGCTCAAAACCCTTGCAAAACTTACTGCACAGGGAGAGCAGGCTGCTTGCTCCTAAAGAAAGAGGAGAAATGACATTGAGCTATAGCTGTCCATCTTCTCCCTCCAAACACCCATCAGATTAAATCATTCCTTCTGTAGGAAGACTGAGAGGAGTAGAGAGCCCAAGACCTGTTCAGGAAGGAGGTTCCCACCACACGAAAGGAGACATCGGGGGCGGGGTGGGGGATGGGTGGTGGTGAGAAGAATCCTGCCGTAAAGCAGGGAAGCCCAGAAAGACTACCCAACCTTCCCAGGATTACGTAGCTAAGTTTTTCTTGGGATATATCTTCTATAACTGAAACTTAGTACCCTTGAGAGGAGTCCTGAACCAGCCAGGGTTTGCAGAAAGCTTTGCTTCCTCCATTGCCAGAGGCAACCCTAGCCTCCCACTCTTTCCAGCTCCGTGACAGCTGCCATTTCTTTTTGGATTTGTTTACCTTCTACAATTGAAACTTCGTAGCCTTGAGTGGAGACTTAGGCCAGCAAGGACAGGCAGAAAGCTTGGCTTCCCCCATTGCCAGGGAAATCTAAGCCTCCCTCCTGCTCTCTGTGGCTGTAGCCATCTTTGTTGAGTTTATTTGCATACTCGCTCTGATTGGCTGGTGGATGTAGTGGAGTGATAGTTAATTTGCATATTACACTTTTATTAGGTAGGATTATGTTTTGATTGGTTGAACAGCTGACTGGATGACCAGACACTTAGCATATTATTAGGCTTTATTATATAGGAATATTTTTGCTCTCATTTAACCTGTAGCATATGCCTGGAGGTAGCTATGTTAAAGAAAAACACCTTAAAAGCAAATTAACCTCACAGTTCATGGCCTCTATCCTTGGGACATTGGGCAGTCACTGCTTTCTCTGTCCACATTGTCTTAACACCTCTTGTCCTCTTCTTGTGCAACTGCAAGAGTTTTGTGCCTGGGAAGAGTTATGTAGTGTTTTAAGAGTGAATATCAGCAGATCACACTATCCCAAAACCATGCAATGTAAGAACATGGAAAGAGACTGAAGATACAATTGGAAGAGAGGATAATTAATGGAGGAAAATTTTGGAGGAAGTGGAGCAAGTGCCTGCTCATCTGAAAGTCATTGAAGGCCAAGGTCCAGAGGTCCAGTAAAAAAGCTCAGAGTCCTCTAACTTAGAAAGTATTCAACTTTACAACTTCTCTATTGTTTAGACTTGTTTCCTCATATCAAAGCAACATAGTAAAATTATAAAAACTCAGGAAAAATTTGCTGTTTAGCTCTCAAAATACAGCCATTCCTAATACACATTTAAACTCTACTGGCTTCATTTCATTGAAAAATTCATACTACTTAAGGCCTAGGTTGATGAGAAGATTTAAGAATCACATTTATAAATGGTTTTACAAATGTCTATATTATAGAATAAGCATGATATAAATAATTTACTATTCAGTTATAGCCAGTGGGTTAATACCTAGACACAATTTGTGTCAAGGCTCATTAGTTAAAAAAAAAAAAGTGGAAAGTGGCTGACAAATTAATGGTAAAGGTAAAGGAAGATGACTTCTGTGTCTGTCAGAATAATAAGATTCATTGTCTCATTCTACTATTTTTAGAACCAATTAAATAACCAAACTCTGAGGAAGTGTGACACTTCCTAGCCATTTGAGAGTGGTTAATTTGAGGTGTGTCTTTGTTCTTTTTTTAAACTCTGTATTATGGAAAACTTCAAACTTATACAAAAAAGAGGAGAGTGTAATGAAAATTCAGGTACCCATCACTCAGCTACAACAATCTTGTTTCTTCTACACCCCTATGTATTTCCCCTGCGAATTATTTTGAAGTGAAGCTCAGATATCATTTTGTTTCATCTGTGTCTATGTATTACAATTTTTACTATTATTTCCAGTGCTTTCCTCCTGGGATTAAATTATTTATCAGTCATCAAAGAACAACAACGTAATAAGAACAACGGCAAGATTTTCAATAAATACTTGTTGAAAGACTATCTGTTGAATAAACAAAAGCCTAAAATTTATTGAGCATTTGCTGTGTGCCCAGTTCTGTACTAAATGCTTGGTGTGCAAAATTCACTTATCCTTATAACAACCCAAAACCATAAATATTACTATCTTCACATTTTAGGTGAGTAAAACAATGTGAAGAGATTAAGGGACTAACCCCAAAGATAAAACACAAATTAAATCAAATCAAATCATACAGAATAAAAGCAAATGACACTGGATATTTTAATAAGGCTTAGAATTTAGGCCTTTGAGAATAAAAGTAAATGTGGCAAGACATTAAAAAGTGGTGACTCTGGGTAAAGAACTATGGGAGGTCTTTATACTATTATTGCAACCTTTCATTTTAAATTACCTCTATATATAATCTCCATATATAAAAGGCTAATGTGCAGTGTCCCCTTGGGAGTTCAACTGGGAGTTCCATCACTCAATATGACGTGTGCTGACCACAAGGGGGTGGCACGGAACGAAGGAAGTTACTGGCCAGCAGCCAGAAGGCCTCGATCGGCCCTAATCATCAGCCAGGACTATGGGCCCTACCCACGCATAAATTTCATGCACCAGGCCTCTAATTTCCAAATAAAAATAAATTTGAAATAGGTCCCTTTTTTCCCCTCAACTAACAAAGTTCAAGGAAGACTTTGAGTGACATTTTTCATAATGGGCAAGGATTTCTCTTATTCCAGTCCCTTTGAAATGAGAACCTGAGTCAGGTTTATGTTTAGGTCAGTTTTGGGGGAGACTGGGGCAAAGGAAAATGATCCCAGGAAGCAGAAGTGAGGAAATGGGAAGAATGATAGGAAAGAAGAAAAAGACAACACAGGAATGCATTATCAGTTTGGTCTCTCACTCTAGGCACATGGGACTAATACAGCTGGCCACCTGTGGTAGCCAGCCTCCCAAATGGCCCCACTGATCCCTGCCTCCCGTGGTCACACCTGTGTGTCATGTCCTTCCACACTCCACCAGGGTTGGTCTATGTGACTAAAGCAGCAGAAGCGATGGTATGTCATTTTCAAGATTATTAGGTCATAAGAAAGACTACGACTTCCATTTGGGGCACTGGTCCTCTTTTAGACCACTCGCTCTGGGGGAAGCCATAGAGTGAGGAGCCTTAGAAAGGGGTCCATCTGATGAGGGGAAGCCTCCTGACAACAGCCACATGATGGAGTTGGCAGTGGGTGGTCAGGTGCAGTCATGCCTCAGGTGATTGCGGCCTTGGCTAACACACTGGTCGCAGGCTTGGAAGAGATTCTAGGCCAGAACCACCCAGCTACACTACTCCCTGATGCCTGATTTACAGAAATTGTGAAACAAGAAATGTGTCATTGTGAGCTAGCAAATTTGAAGTAATTTGTTACAAAGCAACAGATAACAAATATGGGACCCTCTGAGGGTCTGTGTTGAATATAGCTCAGAAACCTTCCATCAAAAATTGGGAGGCTGAGGCATTTACCCACAAAATCCAAGAATCTGGAAGTAGAATACTATCAACATGCCAGAGCTTGCATAGCTGGAAGTGGATGTGGGCAGCGGGTATCTGAGATAGGGCATCAGCAAGCTTCTGCTAGGGCCGTGGTCAGCAAACTGTGGCTTGCGAGCCACATGCGGCTCTTTGGCCCCTTGAGTGAGGCTCTTCCATAAAATACCACGGCCCGGGCGAGTCTATTTTGAGGAAGTGGCGTTAGAAGAAGTTTAAGTTTAAAAAATTTGGCTCTCAGAAGAAATTTCAATCGTTGTACTGTTGATATTTGGCTCTGTTGAATAGTGAGTTTGCCGACCACTGAGCTAAGGTATCTCAGGATAGCACCATGTTGACTTCGCCAAGATGAGACATGTTTCATATAATATGAAGCTCTCCTTATGAGCGCCCCCCTCTTTGTTTACTGTGTTGTTCTTTCAAACTCTGCCAAGTTCATCTCACAGAAACATTACGTAGGCAGAACTAGAATTTTTAAGACTATTTTTGTAATTAAAAAACACCCAGAGAAGAAAAGTTTAAACACACCAAAAAAATGGCATCATTCACAGGTCACCATTGATAAAATGTTGGGTCACTTAAAAATGAAATAAAATTAAATCATTGTGAATATAGAATAAAAGCAAAGCACAAATAACACTTGATATTTTAATAAGGTTCAGAATTTAGGACTTGGAGAATGAAAGTGAATTTTCAGCATAGCTGAAAATTTTCCATTGTAAAATGATACCACTTTACTTACTAAATCTTAAACACACTTTTCAGTGACAAACAGCAGTATATCTTATCAAGTTTCAATTACATTCTCCAGTATGAGGAAGTTAGCAGTTGGAGTTGTGAGCAAGTTAGGGTGTGGCATCATTTATTTAAGCAATAAAGAAACCCCAGGCCTGACCTCTGCAGAGGCCCTTCTAAGCGCATATTAAAATCACCTTCCAGTTGTGTTTTCAACCTCTTTTAAGATTTTTCATTATAAAAACAAAAATGAGCTGAGCCAGGGGGTCAGCTTCCCGTCTTCAGCTGCTGAGCCAGGAGCCTGGCCTTGTACGCATTCCACGCTTGTTGCTCTACCAGGTACTCCCTGATGTCCTCCTCTGTGGGGTATGCACACACCAGCTCTGCAGCAGTTCTCCTGCATCCGGGGCCAGCTTCTGCTAGAAACAAGCTTCTGGGGACAAAAATGCACTCCACTCCTTCACTAATCTAGAAGAGAGAATAAACATATTTGTTTTAAGTTGTTTAATTGATGAGGGAAATATAGCTGAGGGTCCAACGTGGATTTGAAAGAGTTAATGGGCCACTCAACCCCACCTGAGGACCTAATCAATCACCAGTATGTGCTGTGCACTCGAAGAGCTGCTGACCGTCTACCCAACCTGGGGACCAGGATGGCAACTGGGAAAGCCATTTGGGTCCATGTAATCCTGACATCCCTGCTTACCAAAATCCTAGGGCAGTGGTCAGCAAACTCATTAGTCAACAGAACCAAATATCAACAGTACAACGATTGAAATTTCTTTTGAGAGCCACATTTCTTTAAACTTAAACTTCTTCCAACGCCACTTCTTCAAAATAGACTCGCCCAGGCCACGGTATTTTGTGGAAGAGCCACACTCAAGGGGCCAAGAGCCGCATGTGGCTCGAGAGCCACAGTTTGCCGACCACAGACCTAGGGGATTCTGCATAAGGTCTATAAAGAGTTAGTTAAGCTGAAACCGGTTTGGCTCAGTGGATAGAGTGTCGTTCTGTGGACACAAGAGTCCCAGGTTCGATTCCGGGAAAGGGTATGTACCTTGGTTGTGGGCACATCCCTGGTAGAGGGTGTGCAAGAAGCAGCTGATAGATGTTTCTCTCTCATCAATGTTTTTAACTCTCTATCCCTCTCTTTTCCTCTCTGTGAAAAAAATCAATAAAATATATATTTTTTAAAAAGAGTTAGTTAAGAAAATATGAATCCTAATGGGATAAGCTATGCATGGTTTATGTATAAGATAGGTAGTTATATTAATATAATAATTTTCAGGTAGCATGGAATGTGAGTCTGATGTCAACCGTTAATCTTTCTCAGTTAACACACTGTTCTGTGCCTCTCTTCTGGTCCTAGTCGAGATCTACCGCTCCTTCCTTTGGGTCAGATGCTCTGCCTCTGACCTCTACGGTACACTTCTATGTTTTACATGGGTCCCCATGGGCCAGGGAAAGAGTTGTGAACAAGAGACTGATTCCTTTCTCACAGGAGACTTCATTCTCTCTTCAATTGTTCAACATTTCTGTCTCTCCCAAGGTTCAGCAGGGTTATTTCTTTTGGTTTTGCAGTTTGGGTTCTTTTTAAAATTGCTATTGCCCAATGCCCATGTAGCAGACATTTGGGCCTTTTAAATACTTCCAGGATGGGAGTGCCTCCAGGATTTTAAACAGGAAAACAGGATATTCCAAGTTGGATATGCCTGGAGGGCAATCTCTTATTATGTTAGTGACTTTGTTTCTAAAGTTGTTCCACTGCTCCAATATAAATGTCTCCATTGCAACTGCCTGCTCAGGAAGGCAGAGACTGGCCTCAAGCACACAGCTGCGCAGGTTCATTCTGTATGGAGTCTACAGGCCACGCTCTGGTTACGTGAGTTTCAGCACCTCCTTGAGTAAATACTGTTACTTCATATTATTTCAAAACTTTTGTGAATCTCAAAAAGTGAGAGAAAAGCCCAAGTCTTTATTTTTTTCTATTTTTTTTATTTATTAAATTATTATCTGTGTACATATTTTAACAATGCCCCCCCCCCCATACAGACCCTTCCTCCCCAGAGTTTTGTGTCCATTGGTTGTACTTATATGCATGTATACAAGTCCTTCGGTTGATCTCTTGTCTCCCCCAGATCTCCCTACTCTCCCCGCTGTAATTTGACAGTCTGCTTGTTACTTTACTGTCTTTATATCTATCTTTTGGTTTGTCAGTTTATAATGCTTTTTAATATCCATAAATGAGTGAGGCCATGTGGTATTTCTCTTTCATTGACTAGTCTTTAAAAAATTTCTGTTAAAATGGCATAAATCCTGACATGGAGAAAGGCAGATGAAAAAGATGTATTTGCTCTTGAAAACAAAAACAAAAACAACCCAGGAGACCAAATAAAATTACAATACAAATTTTAAAAATTTAATTCTATTTAAATTGTTTCAATAATTCCTAACCTGAAGTTTTTTAAATTCTCATGAGGACATGGTCCTCTTTGGATTTCACACCGTGTGGAAAGCTGCTGGAAACCGTTTTGGCTGTGAGCTCCCCACCAAATGGACAAAGCATATGACTTTGCTAAAAATGAGTCAGGGACCACTCTGGACAAAGGCCGTGCTCTTACCAGGTACACAGGAAGGTCACATGAATTGTCCAATACTTCTGCCAACCCCTAAAATTGTAAGAGAGCCTCAGTCACTACAGATGATAAGTACCTCTTTATCAGTTAAATTAAGCAAGAGACAGGAAGAGTTCAGTCAGAAGCATGGGTGTGTGTTTTTATTAATTCTTTTGTAGCAGTGGACCCACACATGGTTCTCAGGAGTCAAATAAAATGGGATCCTAAATTGTGTTTACAGAATTCTGAAATAAATATGAAGCTAGAATAATATGTTCATAAGGAATGTGCCACACTGCCAATGAAAACTTAAACATATCAAAGGCACATAATCTGCTTTTGTTAAGCTTTAAGAAATTTTCCTAACGGCAAAAATGAATGATTAGTCCTTCGGGGGATTGTGGGACTTGTAGGACAGAATAGTTTTTGTCCAAGAAAACAAAATAATAGTTGTCTAGACTATGAGGGAACGTGTAAATATTCATTGAAAATTATTGTTTTAATTACATATTTGCAAAAAAAAAAAAAAACAAACAAGCAATATATAGCAGATTTCTAATAGCAAGTTCTGAGAAGATTGTAATGTAATCTTAAGCCTCATTCCTCCAGAGCTCGCCAAAAATGGAGTCAGTGTAAAAAGCCAGCTAATGTGAGGCCAAATGAGGTGGGGTTTTTTTTGGTTCTACACCTGAGCTCATTCATAAAGACATTGCACAGTGACAACTTGCAAAGGCTATAGTCAGTTATCTTCCTTCACTGGTGACCACTGAAGTGCTAGAAATGAAGGCATTTCTTCTTTTGAGGTATGTAGTAAGTGATAATCTGTAAAAGTTACTGAAAAATACTGCAGGCCCTAGCAGGGTAGCTCAGTTGGTTAGAGCACCATCCTGCTATGCCAAGGTTGTGGGTTTGAGCTCCCATCAGGGCACATACAATAAGCAACCAATGCATAAATAAGTGGGACCACAGCCCTGGCCGGAGCAGTTCAGTTGGTTGGTTGTCCTCCCACGCATCGAAAGGTCGCTGGTTCAATTCCCAGTCAGGGCACATGCTCCGGTTGCGGGCTTGATCCCTGGCAGCCAATCAATGTTTCATTTTCACATCAAGGTTTCTCTACTCTTTCCTTCTCCCTTCCTCTCTCTCTAAAAATCAATTTAAAAATATTAAGTGGGATAGCACCTCCCCCATTCCCTCCCTCCCCCCGGTCTAAAACAATTTAAAAAGCGTATTATAGCCCTAGCAGTTTTGACTGAGAAGATAAAGTGTCAGCCTGTGGACCAAAAGGTCCCAGGTTCAATTTCCGTCAAGGGCATGTACCTTGGTTGCAGGCTCCTCCCTGGCTTGGGCTCTGATAGGGGATCCAGCAGGAGGCAACCAATCAATGCGTTTCTCTCACATCAATATTTCTCTCTGTCTTTCCTCTCTCTTCCACTCTCTCTAAAAATAAATAAATAAATAAATAAACAAGCAAATAAATAAATAAATAAATAAATGAAAAAATATCCTGGGGTGAGGAGTCAAACAAGCAAACAACAACAACAAAAAACGTATTATATGCATGTCTGATGGAAATGATTAACAATCAGGAAATATTTATTTAAAAATGTGTGTGAGACTGTGAGAAAGATAAATGAGATATGATCTTTGCTTTCAAGAAACCTCAGTCTTCTTTGGTACAGAAGACCTGCTTTTCAAATTTATCTAATTGCATTCTGAAAAAAACACACAAACTCTATTTTTTTTTAATGAAATCATGTTAGGAGGGAACTGACATGTTTTGCATAACTAATAAGTACCAGGAACTGAGCATATATTCTCCTACTTAATCCTCACAACAAGGCTATGAAGTGGATATAATTATTTTCATTTTGTAGGTAAGGAAACTGAGGTGGCTTGGATAAGGTCACATAACTAGGGCATGCCAGTCCCAAAAAGCCAATGCAAGCCGAAGTCTCTGGGTCAAATGCCAATGCTATTTTTATTACTACGGGATGCCCATGGGAACATGGGATGAAAAAAATCATTGTGAGATACACTTTAAAGGGAAATTTGCAAATGTTTTTAACTTCTAGGCTATTTATATTAATATTAAGACTTTATTAACAAAATTATATGGAGCCTTGATTAAATTTTAATGAAACCTTTCATAAATGAGATAAGGCAGGAACATCAGGAAACAGAAATATAATTAAATGTGTTGAAGGAATCAGATTAGGCTTATCCTCCAATTTACAAAGACCCAATCAGCCAAAACCGGCTTGGCTCAGTGGATAGAGCGTCATAGGCCTGCAGACTGAAAGGTCCCAGGTTCGATTCCGGTCAAGGGCATGTACCTTGGTTGCGGGCACATCCCCAGTAGGAGGTTGTGCAGGAGGCAGCTGGTCGATGTTTCTCTCTCATCGATGTTTCTGGCTCTCTTTCAATCTCCCTTCCTCTCTGTAAAAAATCAATAAAATATATATTTTTTAAAAATAAAATAAAAATAAAAAGACCCAATCACTTAAATACTAGAAAATGTATCATTGTCCTTTTATATTATGTTTTTAATATTATAATTTTAAATTTCAAAGGTAATGCCATGTAGATGAAAAAAGCATTAAGTCAGGAGATCTGAATTCAGTTTTCAGCCCTCAAATTACTGTGGTATTATTTTGGGCAGTTTACTTAATCAGTTTTAATCTTGTAGGACTACTAATATCTCTCCTATGCCATTCAAAAAACAACTCACCCACCCATCCATTCATCCATCTATCTATTCAACCACCCATTTATTACATTATCTATTCAATATATGTTTATTAAGCACCTACTAAGCGCCAGTCACCAGAGACAAGAGTTAAACTAGACTCAGAGTCTGCCCTCAAGGAGCCCACAGTCTAGAAAGAGACACAGACGTGAGTATAAAGCAATGTAGGAACATGTGGTGGGTGCTGTAAAGCAAACCTGCCCTGGCTGCAGCGGGCAGAAAGGAAAGATCACCTCCACTTGGTGAGAGATAGAGGGAAGGACACCCCACAGAGACCATGGGGGGAGAGAACAGGCGTCATGGAAAAGGTGACACTTGAGCTAAGTCTTGGGAAAGCATGAGCAATTTCCCCCAATGATTCTAGGGTGTGATGTTGGGAAAGGTGTTCCAGCCAGAGGCAACCACATAAATAAATACCCAAAGGTCCAGTATGGTGTGCTCATCAGCAAATTACACACAATTTGAGTTGGCTGAGATGTAGGGTAGGAGGAGGATGCAATAAAATGAAGACAGAGCAGATGGTTTGCCATTATGAGGAGGTTTAATTTTATTCTATGCGCATTGGAAAATTATTAAAACCCCTTAAATTAGAGTAAAGGAGTCAGATTTACATTTGAGGAAGATTATAGCTGTAGAGAATCAGTATGAGAATATTATAAGGAAACATGAAAATCTGTCATAAACCGTAAATGACTATATAAATCACTCTCTAAGTGTCCGCTTTTAGTTTTGGCTATATTACAGACCAGGTGTGATCAAGAAAACATGAATTCTGTGTAATTCTATGTATGTATTTAAATAAACCTCAAAATTTAAAATATAAATGAATTGTAATAAATTTAAAAAAAAAAACTTACAAAAACGTCACCTTGTTCCAGCACTCTTATCTCAACAAAACATGTTGCTGGTGAAGATCCCTAAAAAGAATAAATCAAAATATAGGTGATCTTTGAAAATGACAAGCGTGGGTAAGGTTGTAAAGAAACTGGAACCCTTGTGCAATATTGGCGGGAATGTAAAATGGTACAGCCACTATGGAAAACAGAATTGTGGTTCCTCAAAATTTTAAAAATAGAATTACCATATGATCCATCAATCCCACTTCTGGGTACACATCCAAAAAATGTGAATCATGGCCATGTTCATAGCAGCTTTATTCACAATAGTAAAAAATATAGAAGCAATCAAAGTATTCATTGATGCATTAACGGATAAATAAAATGTGGTATATATACATATAGTGGAATAGTATTCACTTCCTTAAAGAAAAGGAAATTCTGACACATGCTACTACACAGGAAAAATCTTGAGGACAATATGCTAAGTGAAATAAGCCAGTCACAAAAACACAAGTACTCTATGAATCTACTTATAGGAAGTATGTAGAGTAGTCAAATTCATAGACCCAGAATTAGAATTTGGTGGAAAGGGATGGTGCTCAGAGATATGTAAGTTTCACAGTGAGTGTGCAAGTACTAATTACAATGATTCTAAGACTAGTAACAGTTTCTAGAGGCTGAAAGCCCAAACCCAGTTGCCAGCAGGACTGTGTCTTCTGAGGGCTGTGAGAGAGAGTCTGCCCCGGGCCTCTCTCCTGGCTTCCGGGGGCTTGGTGTTCCCTGGCTTGTGGAAGCAATCCCTGAACTGGGCCTTCATCTTCATTTGGCATTCTCCCCGGGTGTATGTGGCTGTGTCCAGATTTCCCCTTTTCTAAGGACAACAGTCATTCCGGATTAGGACCCGCTCTAATGACCTTATCTTAATGACCTTAAACAACATCTATAACGACCCAAGTTTCAAATAAGGTCACATTCTGAGTTCCTGGGGGATAGGATTTCAATGTATGAATTTTGGGGGAACATAATTCAACCCTAACACTAGGATTACTGCCTCTAGTGAAACTCTCTGGATTTCCCAAATATCCCTGATTTTCACAAGTGTCTTTAAAAGCAAGGAGCCAATTTTACAAAATATTATCTTTACTAACATCTCCAGATAAAGGTAAATATCTTAATTCAATAAGCAAACAATTGAGATTCAACATCAATTTTAAAAATGATTAATCTAGAGCACATGTGTCAAACACAAGGCCCGCGGGCCAAATCTGTCCCGCCAGGCCTTGCAATGTGGCCCGCACCACGCTGTCATCACTGCACTCCGCTGCATTTCCATCACAATGACAGTTTATGACTGTTCAGTAAACCATTCGGCCCGCGATTTAGGCTGGATTTTAGATTTTGGCCCCTTCTCTGATTGAGTTCGACACCCCTAATCTAGAGTAACCAACCATGCTGTGGGCATTCGTAGGGGATAAATCTTTGCACGTGCCATGGCACCATGGAAAGGGCTGTGGCCTGGAGGTCAGGAAATTCGAAGCTAAGTCCCAGCTCTCACATTCACCATGGAAACATCTGGATGGCCACTGCCTCTTGTGTAGGAGTTGATATGATCTCTAGATTCCTGAGGATTCCTTCATTCCATTCTATTTTGTTATACTCCATTTTGAACTATTTTTTTCTATCCACACACAAATATATGAGCAACAGAGAAATGAATGACACAAACAGAGAAGCATGTTTATAATACCTGCTCATAGACTCAGAGATTTTTAGAAATAGAAAACTTTGATTTACTACCCTTATTTAATACACACAAAAATGGAAGCCTAGGGAAGCAAAATGACTAATCCTAAGACACACACATCATTCTTTGCTTGAATAACTTTAAATATGGAAAGAGTCCTAAAATTAAATTCACAGACCTAGGGGCTGCCATGAATGCACTTTGGGGGTCTATGTACCTTCTGAGAGTTTTGTGTAAAAACTGGTATGAATATGAATATGCATGTAAACATCTGCTTCTATTGGAAGGCGACTCTAGTTTTCATCATGAATCCTCAGCTCCTATGCCTAAATGTCTGGCATCTAAGAAATACTCAGTAAATATTTGATTTATATATATACTGAATTCTTAACCATAAAAAGTTAATAACCATTGAAATAGAATAAAATAGAATACAGTCATCCTCTGGGAAATAATCCTTACTGCTCCCAGAATGCTTTACCTGAAGTTTTTCATCATCCTGTAGTTGCAAGTCCTGGCTGAATTATACAATGTTGGATGTGCCTCTTAAACCAATTAAGGATGATGTTTAAATCACAATTTCATCTCCTTTAGGAAATCATCCATTTTTTATTTAACTGTACCATTCTGTTTAATTAACAAGGGTTTAGTGACAGTTAATAAATGATATGTTAATTAATTTAGGAAATTACATTGTGCTTATTAAGGTAATTTAAATTTTTTAAAGCTTGTAATTTTCCTTAGTTCCATCAAATAAGATATACCACATTCAATTAAAATTGAGTTACCTTATTTTATTTTCCTATTAGTCCAAGAACCTGGGAAAATCTCTAGTGTATCCAGGATACCTACTGGAATAATTATCAAGACCGTGACTTTCAAAAAGGCGGGGGAATGCCTTGGGCCCAAGAGAGGTGTTATCATAAGCAGAGACAGCAGCACTGTAGAAATAGGTGCTCAGGAAATATTTGATGAACCAGTGAAAGAAAAAAGAAGTAGCTAATGATGGTAGGAGGGCAGAAAACTCTCTTTGAGCAGGGAGTCACCAATATTAGAACAGCTGATGGGACATCCATCAATGCCGGGTGATGGGATTAATGATTAGATCCTCCTCTGCGAGAGAATGTGCTTTTTGTGGGACATTAAGGAATGGCACCAACATGATGATTGTCAACATAGATATCAAATACAATCATCTGTCTCTAGTTATCAAGCATTTCTTGTTGCTAATCCGTTACTAAGGGCTTGCAAATGGGGCCTCAAGACAAAAGATGTATGATACCCTGCATGAAGCAGGCCACGCCATTTGTGCCATAGAATTACATTTTTCTAAAAAACCATAAATGTTATTCACAAATCATTTGTAGTCTTTAGAAGCATTTGCAAATAATTTACTTTGCCAATGGAGATTAAAAGCTTTCTTCATCATAAGATTGGGTGCACGTCATAGTGAGCGATCGAAGTCCTGGTTAAAGTCCCAAGTGGACAATTTGCAAATTAGGCTTGGCTTTTATATATATAGATATTCAAAGAAGATTAAAAAAAACTTACAGAATCTTGCTATTTGTCTTGTATAGTTTGCTAGCCTACCCTATATCACAGAGAAAGAGTGGATTTCTGTCCTAAAAACTTCCTGAAAGGGTAAGTTATCAGTTTGACATGTTTAAGACTTAAAGAAATGGACACAGGATTTTGGGGTGCTCCCTAGGTTAGTGCGAAGACAACAGGGATCCTCCTATGTCTTTACTCTGCACCCCTGGAACAAAGATCTCTGATATTTTAGAGAGAAAAGAATCTTAGATTCAGACCTTCAATGACAAGTCAAATTGAAAGCATTTACCTTACCTGAAGTGGAGGTTTCTTGGTGTCTAGTGTTTTTTTCCTAGCAGCTGAGAATGAAGTCTTGGGAGAAACTGTGGATGCTTAAGCAAGAACAGATATTTTGTTGCTGTAAATTCTATTTTAACTTGTTCACATTATGATCCATTCTTTAGGTGTAATACTAGGCACTTCTTAAACATGGTGTTGTAGAATGAAAAGGGAAATGCTCATTTTATATTTTTTCCTCTTTTTAATAGTATATTGGAAATCATTTCATGTAATTAACAAAATAAATATAATGTGGCAGATATGCACTCAGAATTGGTAGATTACAACTCAGAAATAAATTCTAATGTTTATACAACATTATTAGACAGACATATTCTTACTTTCTAAACTTCTTCCAGTTACAGCAGGTGTTCCTTTTGGTGGAAGAAGAGTGTGGACATTTTTCCGGGTGGAAGAACGAGTCTTCATTACACAGGAACGTACAGATATTTCCTCATAGTTCATCTGAGCTATTATCCGACGACCCTAAAAAAAAAAAAAAAAAAAAGATGGTAATTAACTTAGTACGGAAGAAACTTGATGTTCTTAAATGCATCATCTTCTATATTGGCATATAAAGATGATTAACTTACAAGTGCACAAAGGAGTTGATACTATTGAATCATCTAATGTCACTTGGCAATCTGTATTTAGTTCAACTAGCCCCCTAGCTGATCACAAATACCACAGTCATCTAGAGGACATAATCATTGGTTGTAGCTCCCTGCCAGGATTTTAACTGAAAAAGCCAATGCTTCATTGTGTACTTACAGATATGATGAATACAAGAAAGTGGGAGTTTAAGTTGTCAGAGATAATGGTTGTTCCAGCCCTGAAAGAAAAGGAGGAGGGATGGAAATCAGAGACCACAGGGAATATTTATTCAACAAAAATGCTCATTGAGACTATGATGTGCTAGGCTAAAGATAAAAGGAGCAAAGCAGAGACAGTCTCTCAGTGTATGGAGTTTTATGTATTTTCCCATTTAGAGCAATTCTTGAGCATTGATGTGCCAACCTTGCAGATTTGAGGTGAAGGACAGCCCACAGTGCCAGTCCAAAAAAGCAACAATAGGTGCTATGTGTGCTCCCCTTGGAGATCTTGAGGAAATGCACCATAAACAAAAGTGGGAGGAGATAGCAGTTCAGTACATGGGCAATGATGGAGGCAGAAAGATTTGAGGTGAGGTTACTAAGTATTATATAGATGAAGCTTGATTTCGGTGCTCTGCTTCTGTCTATATGTAGAATTTCCTCTCAGTGGGTGACTCTGAAGCTCCCTGGCATCTTCCTAGGGTCGCCCTCTTGGTATTCACCGTGGATGGCCTCAGAGATCATCCAAGGCCAATAACTAATTTCTACTAATGTGATAAACTAATTTCTAAGATCTGATTTAAAGTCATTGATTTAAATAAAGGATATAAATTTTAACTTCAGCCTTTTAAATACACCTGGAATAGCAACAATGCTTTATATTCTCATGTGCTGTTAATCTATACTACTAAAAAGGGTAATATGCTAATTAGACCAGATAGACCAGATGTCTTCTGGATGTCCTTTCAGACAAAGCCATGGTGGTGGGGGCCCAGACAGAGGTGATTAGGAGTGATCAAATGGGCAGGGGAGAGCAGTTAGGAGTGACCAGGCAGGCAAGCAGAGGGGTTAGGGGTGATCAGGCAGGCAGGTGAGCGGTTAGGAGCAGTCAAACATCCCCAAAGGGGTCCCGGATTAGAGAGGGTGCAGGCCGGGCTGAGGGACCCTCCCCTCCCCATGCATGAATTTCATGCACCGGGCCTCTAGTTTAGTTATAAATATCAGTGTAAGTTAATGTGTGTTAAGTAGTAAGAGGCTATGAAGATGAAAAAGACATTAACCCTGCTGATAAGGGGCCTTATCACCTAGTATGGGTTGGGGGTAGAGGGATGAACAAACACTTTAATCAGTGAACGGTGGGGGCAGCATAGGCATGAGTGCCAAGACAGAACTGAGAGCTCACCCATGCCAGCTGCCATTTATGCACTCTGAGGTTCTGAGATGCAGCATGCTTATGGTGATGGGTTTTTGCAGCTAAATCTGCTATCAAGATCCCTGAATGAGCACAGGCCTAGATCTTCCCAGGCAGGAGAGGCAGAGAAGGGCAACCCCAGCAGAAACGGGAGCAAGGACAATCAGTGAGACCCCCCCCGCCCAAGGGAAAGATGAATCTCTAGAAAGAAGAGGCAGGGATCTGAGGCCCAGCCACTAGCACCCACATGAAAAATCTCTCTTTTTTCATTACCTTGGAGGATTTAGGTTAGATTTTCAAAGGAGCTGGCAGATTTCCTAAATGTACACACAGCTTTTCAGAGATCAGAGGGAGACTGATAAAAGGTTGCTGTCCCACTCTATCAGGTGGAAAGACTTTTGCATGAGTTTGATCTTTGTGGTTTCACCCAGTAAGGATGAACTCGTAAATCCAGGTCAGGCTGGAGGAAGGCAGTGCCTTGGCAAAGCAGCAGGAGACATTGTGGACAACTAGTCCCTTTAATCACTTCTCAAGTCACACCCAGCATTAGACCCTGAACATATGTCACAAAACTGATTCACAGGAGCCAATGCTCCCTCAAGTCTGCTGGATCCTTCCCTGCTTATGTTTTCACTTCTGTGACATTAGGTCAGGTTTTTCCCATTCTCTAGGAGGTTATCACAACAATCTCCTTTGTCTCCAGTAAATTTGATGGCAATGCAGCCTCTCTCAGCAAGGCCACAAGAATAATCCTTAAACACATTACCCCATGTCCTTCCTGTAGGTGCAGGTAGTTTTCTCCTAATGTCTTTGAGGCTGTCTAAAGTATTGAAGGCTTTCACCTACCGCCCTCTCCTAAGTTAATGTCTTCATCCTTCTACACCATACACTCTAGCCCAGAGCCACACACAGTCAGAGCTTGCTGTGACACCATTCTGGGCTATTTCCATTTCTGGACTCTCCATCAATCTGTGTCACTCAAAAGTTGGATTTATTGATAACTTTATTGTTTCCCGGGAAACCTCTAATTGATGACCTTAACTATTCACCTCTTAACACTTCTATAACTAGGTTGTGTTAATATTGATTTACCTGGTAATTTGCTTATTTTGATTTACCCTCCTCTAAATGTTATTTTGTTGTTTCATGTGTTATATTCTATCTCTCTAAGGAGCTTTCAATCTCCTTAAAATCAGAAACCATAACCTCCAGTCTTTTTTTCCCTACTCTCTTACTCTCATCTCCCCCATCTCCAAAACAGTATATTTTAAGCTATATGGACTTCTATCAATTAGCAAATTCATGAAATCAGTTTCATAAATCTCCTCCCAATATATTTAAGTGAAATAGAATAGAACCTAAGAAAACCAAAAACATCAGAGTGCCTCACCCATGGTGAGGACAAGGATCTTTCTAAAACTTTCCAGAAGCCAATTCCAGCATGTCATAACTGCAAGAGTTCCATCAAAAGGTTGATGAAACTTGGGGGAGGGCTGAGTCACATATGTTATCACCTGTTAGGAATGTCTAAAGGCATTTCCCAAAACCTGAAAAGGATACATAAATTGATTGTTTACTGCCAGACAGCTCCGGGCATATTAATCTACAAGTTATTGCCTCCTACTGGCCAAATACCTGAACAGCCAAAGGCAAATTCTTCCATTCTGACAATGGACTTTGTGTATACAAACCCTACCCTTTGATGTGTAAATCTTGCCTTAGGACAAATTGTGTTAATAAAAAGCAAGGGGTCCTGAGACGAGGAGAACTTAGTTCCTTTAGCTAAGTTTCCTCTGGCTCCTTCAATGCCTTCCAAAATTATGTTTTATCTCTGGACTCTTGATTAATTTACGCACAGCACCTTCTCCAGGTTCCTGAACCCTTCTAGATGCCAGATTAAGACCACCGGCAAAAACTCTCACATAATGAGAGAGCTGTGAGTGAGAGTGTGTTAGACTATGATTTAAAATATATTTCTTACTGAGTTGTGATCAGAAAACCTTGAGAAACATGGCCAGGGATCTACTAAGTATTGGCCCTATGCAAGAAAGTTGTCTTTGCACATTGATTTGGATCCCCCTAGCAGTTGCTCTTGGATTCCTGACACATTTCCTTTTGGTTTTAATGTCACCCTGTTGGCTCCAAGCATCATTTAATGACTCCCAGATTTGACCCTGCCTGCCCCTTGAATCACAGGCTGACCTCTGCATGACCCTATTCACACTGACCCTGCATGCACAATGCTCACATTGTATCGGATACACCTTTGCCCCTCCCACCAAAAAAAGCCCAGAAGCAATGGTGGCAAATGTGTTCACCTGGTTATTTTGGGAGCAGGGTCTAATATCCTCTTTCTAAATGATAGTAACTGACTTTATTATGTAATGGGGAAAAAAAGTCTCAAGAACATTAACATTTCGTGGGGCTACCTGGGAATAAAATTCTAATTCGTGAAGGAGCACTGAGACCCATGATCTTAAATGAGCAATTTAGTTGAATTTTAAAAATAGAGCAGCAAAAAAATTAGCATTTTGAAGAACTAAGTCCTGTGAAAAAGAAATTCTAATTACTAATTACTACCTGATGCAATAGTTGTTATAATAAAATATTATTTAAAAGGTCAATTGCTATGAAAATTCTATTTCAGTTATAGTTTTTCTTATTCTTGCCTTATACATAAAGATATAAATCAAAATTGGAGCCAAAATTTCTATAATTTCAAAAAAATATCTTAATGCAAAGAGGTTGCTTCAAAAATGGCTTAGAAGGGATTCTCCTCTACGATCACTTTGGTTAAAATATAGAAATTAGGTAGAGATTTGAGGGAAATTAGTAGCCTTTTTTATATTGCCCTGGTAATATCTATACTTTCACATGTTGGTACAGTCATAACATTCCATCTGCACTTTGCTCTGGAGCCATAAATGACTGTGCTGGTGCCATCAGTTGTTCTTACAACATTTAGAAAATGAAGATCACTTGCTTATCTTATTTGCTGTCATTTAGCTAAGAGAAAACAACATATAAACGAGGCTTATTCTTCAGAGGCAGCCGTAACTTGATAGAAAACTGCCAGGGATTCATTTCACTAGATACAGTAGTATATATTAAGTACACACTGGGGGAATAGGAATTCCCTGGAAAAATTGAGGGATACCCTGTCTCCCCGCATAGTTAGACGAATGGTCTTAGCATTTGGGCAAGGAAGCCCTTAATCCTTGAAGAAGCTAGAGGAAGACCTACCCAGATATCCATGGAGCTGGAAAGTCCTTTAGTGTTAGCACAATGAATAATAGACTGTTGCCTATTTTCTGTCAGCCAAACAATAGTAATAAGTGGGTAGATTAAGAAAATGGACAGGTGGGGCAAAATTATTAATATGAAGATTTCTCTAGTGCTGACTTGATGCTGGTCTCTGAATGCTTTTTCAGTTTGAACTGGTCTATAAGCCATAGGTGTGTCCCAACCCTGTTCTGCATTCCAGGAGAGCAGGGACGGCCTAGTTGTCCATTCTAGGACATGGCAAGTACCCAATAAATGTTTGTGACAGTTGGCTTCATCTTGTAGTGCTGACTTATTTTCTGTTCATTGCCATCTTCTCATTTATTTTATATTTTCCTCTATCCTCTTTGTGGAACAAGAAGAGTTATAAATGAATTCTACATAACGGCAAATTGAATATTGTTGAAGAGTGAAAGGATAGAGAAGTCACATTTAGTGAGAGGAGCCAGGTGAGACTTCATGAAAGAGGTGATTTTGACATGGTTATAAGCAAGAGGCAGAAGTGTAGCTGGCAAAGAGGACTCCTAAAAATGAAGAGAGCCAAGTCTTATAATTCATGTAATAAATTTTAGTCAAATGCTGATTTCCCGATTCTAAAAGAGAAGCTTAGGATACAAAAATGTAACAACGTGACCTGTAGTAACGTCGTAGAGAACAGTGAACCAGAAAGTCTATCTTTTCTTTTGGCCATGAGAAGAATAATGGGAGGCTCCTGTTGAGAGAGGAAAACAAATTGATCAGAATTTAAAAGAATACTCCAAGCTATTATTTTTAATTTTTAAAAGCAGCTATACTTTCTATTTTTCATTCTATTATTGTCTTAGTCCATTCAGGCTGCTATAACAGAATATCCCAGACTAGGTGGCTTATAAACAACAGAAATTTATTTCTCAAAGCTCTGAAGGCTGGAGAAGCCGAAGGTCAAGGTGCCAACAGATTGGTGTTTGTTGAGAGCTTACTTCCTGGATCACAGAGGTTGTGTTTTTACTGTCCTCACATGGTGGAAGGGAAGACTCTGATCTCTTCAGCCCCTTATGAGGGCACCAATCCATCATGACCTAATCACCTCCCAAAGGCTTCTCAACACCATCACGTTAAGGACTAGGTTTCAACATATAAATGTTGGCAGGACACAAAGCATTCCCTCTATAGGAATGATCAAAGACAAAATGCATTACTTTTCAGTCTAACAGTCCCTACTCTTGGCTAACCCCATCCCCCAATTAATTTCCTCTAGTTCCAACTGCAGTCAGCCTCAATCCTGCCCTTCCTTCTTCCATATTCCCAGCATGTGTTATTGTCAGGGTCACCCTAACCATGACACCTCTAACCCAGAAGGACCTCCCTGACCTATGATTCTGTCATGCCTTACGGAGAACTTTCCCTACCTCAGAGTTCCTAACCCCACATTCCGATGCCCTCAGATCAGTTTCCTTGGACAGTATTGCAGACCCACATCGAAATGGAATTTTTCCACTCTCCATGGACATGGTGATTTTCATCTCTGAGCCTTGCCTGAGAGGGCACCAGCTCTTTATACCCATTAGTTTTTTCTGGCTCTTGCTGCTAATTTCCTCTATGCTGTATAGCCCATGATGTTAGCAGCCTATTTATGATATTTCTTGAACTTAAAAATAATATATAAATATGTTTACCACAATGCCATGCATATGCAAATATTCCCAAATAATTTTTTCTACTTGTCTAATGTTTACGAGATTTGTCTCTCCAATATAACAATAAACTCAGTAATCATAATACCATCTGGTTTAACATTTTTCTTTATGCAAGCCATTTTTATATAAAATATATCTTGTACATATAATACAATATTTTTAATTTATTTTACATTTATCTTCTCCCTGAGAATAGAGCCTATAACCTCAACTTTCGTTCTTACACCTATGTATCCTCTACAACACTACAAACACAGGCACACAGTAAGTGATCAATAATTGACTATAATATTAATAAAATAAATGAAGGATTTAAGGCATACCACAACAACTGAGTAAGAGTGAGAGCTCATAATCAACTTCAAAGACTAAAATGCTTAGAAGTCACTGTCAGAGGAGTGTAATAGATATACCTTGAAATGTTCAAGGAGGAAGAAAGTTCTGCATTTTTAGCTCCTTGGATCATCTTGGATATCGAAGAGATCCATAGATCAATCTATACTTGGCAAGTGGAAAATAAAGCAGAACAAACAAAAAGCACAACAGAACCCAAATTTCCCTGTCTGCCTGGAAATAGGGAATGTGAAGGTTGGTGGAAATAACAATGGTCAGAGGAAGTCTAGAAAGTGGTGCTTTCCTTTTCCTGTTGGGACAGATCCTGTGTGGATGTGGCTGGTTGTTTCGGGGTCAGTACAGCTCATACATACAGGGAGAAGTTAGCTCTTCTGCCCAGGAATTCTGCTTCTAGAGGCTCCTGGTATAAATCATGATGGTTTTCTCTGAAAATGCTTTCCTTTGAACCAACTGCATTTTGAAATATAGAAAGCTCTAGCAGAAAAGGGATGGGATGGATGTGGGTTCACTTGGGAATGGTCGTTCCCTAAGCACTCAGTACTTCCCAAGCTCCACAGGCAATGCTTCATGCCTGCTCTCCCAGTTAGTCCGGACAACACCTTGCACACGGAAGCTCTGGGAAGTGAAGTAACTTGTCCCCGGCCACCCAGTGGCAGAGCCAGGCTCCTAACTAAGATCAGTCTGAATCCAGAGACAACGTTCTTTTCCCTGCATCAAACTGCCAATTAAACTCTATAAAAAGCTACTGAGCACGTGTGTCAGACACTGTTTTAGCTCCAGGGACATGGCATGAAACACACAAAATCGTGTCTTCAAGTAGTCTACATGCTTGGGATTCCCAAAGCATCGCTCGGGATAGTTAGAATCACCTAAGATATCTCTAAAATGCCCGGGGAGACAGAGAAAAGAATGGCGGTGCTATCCAAGTCTTAAATCAATAAGGACTTCATCCGGAGGCATTTGCATTCATTTTTATAAGGCTCACTAGAACCAGGGCAAATTTTTTTTCCTCTATTTGAAATTCAATGAAAGGCAGAAAAGACATGTGGGCACAGAATGATACTAGAAAGGGCCTGATTAATGTCTCATAGATGTTTAATTTCGTGACTCATCTTCTACCACTACAACTCCACAACATCCAACTGTGTTAGATACCAGCAGGTACCAGGGTCCACTTGGTCATTATTTGTTGTGTCATATTTAATCTTAAAAAGTCATTTTTTCCATTCTACACAGACTCTCCATGTAGCTATAATTACAATTTTATTCTGGCCTTCCCTTGACCCCAAAACTTCCAAAGTCTTTGCAGAGTGGCTACGATTATAAAGGAAATTGAATTTAGCAAGCCATTTCCAAGAATCTCCAAAGTGTATTTATATAATCAAGCAATGTAGAATCATTCTTCAATATTAATTAGAAGTCCTTTGCACCCACAATTTTTTTTTTCAATTTTAAGGATAGAATAAAAATCAACTGAGGATTGTTGTCTTGAAACCGTAGCACATTGACCTAAAGATTCAGGTAAGCATCAATCCCAAACAACTCTGGGAGAAACTACTTCGACCCCCTTAGTACCAAGAGGTCTTTTATTGGAATGAGAAAATTAGCAATTTTGAGTGTGACCTAATTCTGACCAAGATCAATGTTACAGAACACATTACCACCCTGTTTTTTTGTTTATTCAAGTTCCTTCCTAAGAGCATCCTGAAGAACACTTCTAAAAGTGAGCTCTCTGGGGACTTGTGTCCACTGTAAATAACTCTGCCATCCAAAGGAATAATTCAGTAAAATATAAATACAGACAAATCCTCTTCTCTGTCTCACCTTCCCCTGCTCATTAGGGTTCTTCTTTCCAGAAATTCACAGAAGTGCATATACACCATAACTATAAATGGAAGTGACTGACCTGGTTTTGGATTTTGTGGAAATAATGAGATTATATTATACACAATGAATAGAAGACAGTAGGAAAGAAAGAGAGACACAGAGAGCTGCCAGGTATCATAAAGGAACATAGGAGAATGGCAGAGACTGGATGAATTGGGAGGAGAGAAGACACTAGCACGGAAAGGAAACATTGTTGAGGAAATATTATTGGAACATCCCTATGGGTTATTAAAAACGTTCCTTCTTTTCCTGGGGCATTTAGTATCACTGCCTTATATAAGTACTCACAGAACTCACATTCTGGCATTTAAAAAAGAGAGAAACTCTTCATATATCTAGTAACTTCTTTCCACTGAGTAAAAAAATAATAATTTTTGAACTAGTTTAAGGCTCATAAGAAATTGTATACGTAGAACTGAGTTCCCATGGATCTTTAACCCAACTTCCCCCAATAATAATATGTTCCATCACCTTAGCACATTGTCAAAACTAGGACATTATGTTGTTCAATATTATTAAGTCAGGCACAGACCTTATTCAGATTTTCATTTAAACATTTTTCTTCTTTATTCTTTTTTTGTCTATTGTCCTACGAAGCTTCACCACATGTGCAGATTCCAGTAACAAATCAGGATATAGAAGTGTTCCATCACGACAAAGAAACTCCTTGGCGCTACATCCCCCACGCTGGCCAGGGCGACCACCATCGGGCTATTCTCTTTGACTCTAACGTTGTCATTTGGGGACTGTCATCACAGTGTGTGACTCTGCAACGGGCCTAATGCGCTTGCCCCTAAGATGCATTCATCACATTGATTTTTAAAGTTCCCATTAAGCAAACTTTAAAAGAAAACCAAAAACACTGTAAGCATCAAAACGGATCTGATCATTTTCCTCAAGCAGTATACATAGAAAAAAAGCATTTAGAATTCTTACAAAGAGAGAATGTGCCATGTGGAATAAACTGAAGAGCTGTTAATAGAGTTACTTCTTTTTTTTTTTTAAGCAATGTATTCTTTTTTAAAAATATATTTTATTAATTTTTTTTTACAGAGAGGAAGAGAGAGGGATAGAGAGTTAGAAACATCAATGAGAGAGAATCATCGATCAGCTGCCTCTTGCACACCCCCTACTGAGGATGTGCCCTTGACCGGAATCGAACCTGGGACCTTTCAGTCTTCAGGCCGACGCTCTATCCACTGAACCAAACCGGTTTTGGCTAGTTATTTCTTAGAGGAGATTAAAAGAAACAGCTTTGGCAAGTTGAAGGATCTTATTTTGGCTTTCCTAAAACTATGACATCAGGATCTCTGGGACCACAGCATTTTGGTTTATTGCTTAAACTAGAGACCTGATGCCCGAAATTCATGCAAGACTAGGCCTCCCTCCGCCTGGCTGCTGGCACCAGCTTCCCTCTGGCACCCGGACCAGGGCTTCCCTCGCAGCCCCCACTCCGTCTGGTCTAATTAGCATATTTTGCTTTTATTATTATAGATCGTTGTTGCTGTTTGTGGAGAGCAGACTAAAATTTTGGAGATAAAATTTTCATTAAGAACTTGATCAAATGCCAGTTCCTACACTATTTCTATATCTGTGATTAGTAACACTATTTTTGAAAAGTAGCAGATGTTCACAACCATTTCGACCATTAATGAAGAATACTTCTACTACACAATGTTTATTACTTCCCTCAGCACTTTAAATGCTCGGATTCAATGTAAAATCTGATGACGCTAACTTTTAACAAAACAGTGAAGTCTTCATAGCATAAAGTTACATCCAGAAACCTAAATTG